CTGTGGCTCGCTTTTGCTCCTCAGCCGTGTCCCCAAGGCCTCCCAGCCCCGTGGTTACTCTCCCCTGCCAGTCCTTTCGCCCTCCAATTCCAGGACCCTGGAATCTAGCCAAGCTCCTGTTTCTCTTGATTTCCAAGCGGCGACTGCCTCGGTTTCTGGGGTGTGCGGCCCTCTGGTGGCCAAAACAAGTAACGGCTCGTCCCGTGAGGTGCCTGCAGGGTCCCTGGCTTATCTGGGATAGAAGGATGGCATTGTTAACACCGCTGAGGCACATAGAGCTGCACTTCAGCAGCTAGAATACAGCCGCCAAGCAGCCTTACAGGTGCAGTCCTGAGCCAAATCCAGCCATAGTCAGATTTAATAACGATTAAAAAAAAAAGTGTGCCCGAATCCAAAAACAAAACTCCAGATTTGCACGGAGAGGATGACTTCTTGTGGTCTTGCTGCCCCAAGGGCAGCGTCACCTCTTGCTTGGGCTCCTGCAGTATCTTCCTGGCTCAGGAGATGGGAATGACACCCCTTGGGGAGGCAGGCAGTAGTTTGTGGAGTCAGCAGAAGGCCAAGACAGGGCTTTCAAGTAGGGAACACAGTGGGCCAAGTCTGTTTCCTGAACGCTGGAAACATATATGACCCAGGAACCACTGTATGACATGTCCCCCAGGTACAAGAACTGAACCAATGATTTCTTCAGCCGAGTCTGTGCGCAGCTGACCTGGTCTGCCCTGTGTTTGGGAGTGAAGCAAGTGGAAACACAGCAGCTTCTTGGGGCCACTTGTTAGAACTGGTTCAAAGCCACTTCCGTTCCTCCATCTATGCGGCAAATGCTCAAACTGTAGAAACATTTCACCTGTTGTAGGCAGGAAATGACAAGGCTATTTGGTAAAGGATGTGAATATGGGAAAGGGTGAAAACTGGGCCACTGCCCACACTGCCCTAGGAGACAAGAGCGCTGTGGAGGAAGAGGAGACATTGAAGGGGGGAGTGGATACAATTCAGTGAAAACTCTGGAAGCTGTTGAGTCCAGATCTGAAGAAATAGACCCCCACGTGGGCCCCACTAGTGCAGCCTGGAGGAAGTAGTTAAAGTTGGGACTGGGAGTGACAGTCGCTGCTCCCGGGTGTGGAGCTTAAATGAGGAAATGTAGGCGCTGCACAGGCGCTAACCCATGCGCAGCCCCGGTGCGTGTCCGGGAGCGGCAGGAGGCTGTCACGGGGCCACAGGGACACAATGGTTACTTTCAGGGCCTGAAGGGCGTTCACGTGGGAGGGGACAAGACACAAAGAGGCCTGTGTTTCAGACCAGGCATGGGTGATGGGAATGAGGGCAATTCATGGTGGGGCGGGGGAAGGCGGGTTCCTGACAGCAAGTGTGTCTCAGAGGGCTTCTTGGTCGCTGGGGTGTCCCAGCTGAGCCTAGCTAACCTGTCGCAGTGAGAGGTGCAGCCGTGAGGATGACATACTGTCCCCCATCCCCTGCAGTCACCATCCAGACTCCCCAAGGAACATTGTGTTGGCAGAATTTCTGGATGTTTCAAATGGCATTTGGTGGGCCCAGCATGATAACCTAGTGGCTAAATCCTCACCCTGCAATCCACATGGGAGAACTGGAGGAAGCATCTGGCTTCTGGCCATTGCAGCCGCCTGGGAAATAAACCAGCAGATGGTAAATCTTTCTGTCTCTCCTTTCTGTAAATCTGCCTTTCCAATAAAAATAAAATAATTTTAAAAATGGCATTTGGTGGTTATGGGCTAGGGATGCTGCACCCGTGGTGCTCAGAGTGGTCCTGAAATGCCAAGTAAACACATTCAAGTGATGTCCGTGCCTGTTGGGGACCACGACATCAGCAGTCCCCAGGGACCCCAGCATCAGCCCTCACACTGCCACCCCCTCTCTCCCTGGTTTTGAGTTACCTCGGAGAGCAGCCTGTGTCCTAAAGAGACCCTGCAGGCCCCTGCTGGTTGGGTGCTGCAGCCATCTGGCATGGCCCGCCTCACCTCGGCATTTGCCAGTGGGTGCTGTAGCCTGGCCTGGCCTGGCCCACCCTCAGTTCCAGCTCATACTGGTATAGACTACAGCCTAGCCAGCCCAGCAGCCCCTGGTCCTGGCTCTAATGTGAACTGGCTGGTATTGTGGCCCAACCTGGCGTGACTTACACACCATTCTAGCTCTCGGATTTGCCAATGGGTGATATGAACTGGACCACCCTGGCTCGCTCCAGACTTGAGCCAAAGGTAAGCCCGTGGTGCCATTCCTTGGCCTGAACTGCGCTGCTCCCTACTATGCTTGTTGCACTCACCTGCAAGCACTGTGTCTGGACAGAGGAGTTTCCCAAGCTCCCCCATCAGAACCTCTCCCAATGCCAGATCTCACGCACACCAGTGGGTCCATGAGCAAACCCCACTAAGTCCACCTCCTGTCCTAGCAGGAACAGTAGCCTTTCCTGACTGGCCCTATTCCTGTTTTTATGTTGGGTGCTACAGCTCAGCCAAGCCTAGTCCTCAGACACAGCTCACACATGGCTCAGCAGGGACAGAGACCTAGCTCAGCCTGTCCTACACCTACCATGGTTCTCATGAGCACCAATGGGTGCTAGAGTCTAGCCCAGTCTGGCACACTCCATACTCATGCCGAGGGAGACTGCAGCCATGTCCAGATCAGACCACAGCCCTTACTTCGGGCCCCTGTGCTTACCAGTGGGAACCACAACCCAGCCAGGGTGTCCTTTTAGCTCCCCAACCAGGCCTCATCCCAGCCACAGATCTCATACATACCAGTGGTTGCTCTGACCTAGCTTGGCATAGTCCCTCACCTGTCCTGGCCTTTGCCTTCAGATGCTGCAGCCTGGCCTGACCCAGCTGGTCTCCAGTCCTCACTTACTGGTGGGTGCTGGAACCTGGTCCTGCTCAGTCTGTTCTCATCCCTGGCTCATGCAAACCAGTAGGTATGGCAGTGTAGCCCAGCATGACCTGCACTCCATCCTGGTTTCTGCACTTGCCAGTGGGCTATAGTTTGCTGGGCCCTCCTGGTCTGCCTCCTTCCAAAACCAACTCACAAACTTGCCAATAGACAGAGCTACCCTACACATCCTGCCCAATATCCAGGTCTGGACTGCGTGTTCATTAGTGGGAGCTATGATCCACTAGGGGAGTTTTCCAACTTCCCCCATTCAGGCCACTGCCAAACCCAGATCTCACACATGACAGTGGGTGCTTGGCCCTTACCGAGCATGGCCTGCCCCATTCATCCTGGCCTTTGTATGAGCTGGTGTGGCCTGGCCCGCCCCACACCATTTTAGGGTGCTCATACAGGTGCTGCAGCCTGGACCTGTCCCACTTGTTCCCAGCCCCAGCACCAGTGAGCATAGGTGAGTTCCATGGTCATGCCTAGCTCAGCCCATCACCATCCTAACTCTCAAGCTAATCAGAGGGAACTTGTAGTTCCTTAGGGTTTGACCCATGAATCCCTCACAGAATCCAAGCCCAGACCTGGTTCTCTTGCATGCTAGTTGGTCTCATGGCCCAGTCTAATGTGAATTCGACATTCACTGGGATCTAGCCCTACCAGACACGCCCCCATCCACAGCTTGCATGTGTGCTGGCGTGTGCTGGTCAGCCATGTTCCACATTAACAAGCCCTACTCAGGTCTTTCATGTGGGCTGGTGCATCAGTCTGGCTCATAAAGATCTTCAGGTCTCTCCCCTCCAAATCACCAGATCTCAGTCTCACTTACCTAGAAGTACAGTGGCCCAGTTGTTGGGAGTCCCTCAGGATTCATTCCTCACCTACATGCACAGTAGTCTTATTCGTGGATGTCCATAGGCAGTAATTCCATACTCCCAAGACTCCAGAGCTCACTGCTGGGTGGCAGCAGGTGCAGCCAGGTGCCGGTTGGCACACTGGCTACCCACAAGCCCTGGCCCCTCCCCCAGCCTAGCAGCGGTGGATGACCCCCAGCAGGAAGCCTGGCCCAGCATGAGTTCCCATAGCCGTAGCCACCTGCCTGTGGCCCCTTGGTTCTCCCAGTTTTTGGTGGTTACTCACCTTATAGTTTCTATGTCAGCGGCTCTCAGATCTACCCAGAGCAGTTGTGGATACACATCTTGCTGGCTTCATCCCCAAGAGATCTGACTGACTAGGTCAGGGGTGTGTTTCAGCACTTGCATGTCTGCCACATATGCAGGAGTGGGGAGCAGACTCCTAGAATCACATCTCCTAATCACTCAGGTTTAGATCTTCCATTGACGGAGCATTTTGAGACAAGGGAACATTTCTTCCTCATCTCATTCCCCAGTGCTTAGCAGGCATTCAATTCATCAACAAGTGTAGATTGAATGACTGTTATATGCTAGGCATTGGTTTAGCATCAAGATTCAGTAAAAAAAAAAGGACCCAGCGCAAAAGTTCAGTGGCTAAATCCTCACTTTGCATATGCTGGGATCTCATATGGGCACCAGTTCATGTCCCAGCTGTTCCACTTCCCATCCAGCTCCCTGCCTGTGGCCTGGGAAAGCAGTCGAGGGTGACACAAAGCCTTGGGATCCTGTACCCATGTGGGAGACCTGGAGGGAGCTTCTGGCTTCTGGCCATTGCAACCATTTAGGGAATGAATCAGCGGATGGAAACTCTCTCTGTTTCTCCTTCTCTCTGTAAATCTGTCATTCCAATAAAAATAAATACATCTTTAAAAAAAGATTCAGTAAAGAAATCTTTTAGTGGTAGGAGCTGATGCAGCTGTTAGGATACTGATTAGGACACTCACTTCCTCTATCAGAATGCCTGAGTTCAAGTCCCTGCTCCGTCTCTGATCCCAGCTTCCTGCTACGCACATTCCGCGGGGCAGCAAGTGACGGTTCAAGTTTACGGTCTCGGACATCCATGTGGAAGAACCAGATTGGGTTCTCAACTCCTGGCTTCAATGTGGCCCATACCTGGTTGCTGCTGAGGAGTGACCCAACAGATGAAACATCTCTGTTTCTTTCAAATAAGCAAGAATAAGTAAATGATATTTTAAAAGATAAATTTTATACTATATACATATATATGTATACACACATAAACACACACACTCATGCAAAATCTCCATGCCTCTGCAGAGCTTTTCTTCTGGTGTCACACAGTAAGCCCTCAGTAATTGATCATTGAAATCTGACCAGTTGTACAGAAAGAAAAAATGGTGTTACCATGGCCATTTTAACAGTGCCGTGGGAATATCCACTTCCCATTTCTTCTAATTTCCTTCTCCAATGCCTGGTATGTAAATGCATAAACTTGGCAGTCAGGAGTATACCGGGGTTTTTGATCTCGCAAGAGGTGTGCTGTAGTTAACACGTTAATAAAACAAAACAATAGCCTCCAAACTTAAGCATATATAGTTTAAAAAGTAATTTTAGAGCAAAAAGCAGTCTCAGAGCTTTTATACTGAGCAATAAACAGCACAACTAGTGGTTTGTAAATTAGCATTAGTTCTCTCATAGGTATGGCCTTGCTCTGCCTCCCTGTTTCATGGCCTGTGTTTGTGTAAAATGTGTGTATGTGAGGACTCTGACCTCCCAGGGACCCAAGCTGGCTGCTCCACAGGCAGGACCCTCTGTCAGAGCTCCTGCTGCCCTGGTTATATAACTCTGATGGGTAGAAGCCGCCTCCCTGCCCAGGCCATGTGATGCCTTGAAAAGGAAGTGGACAAAGGCTGAGGCAAACTCACCGCCTCCACAGAGCTGGGAGCCAGTTCACACACCAGAGACCACGGTGACACAGTTCCCAGTTCTAGGACAGGGAACAACATGGGCCTGCATCTTGGGACTGATTTTCTGGATGTTTCTCCACAAATAGGAGAAATCACAAAAACAATTAGTAACTTAACAGAAATGAACATGTTTCTGTCAAGATATCAATATCCTTGAGGTCTGAGAATGTTCTGGAAAGGTCTTCAAGATCTAAGTCACAGGGAAATTACAGGGGTGAACACATTATTAATGGAATTCTAGGGAGCTGGTTTCAATATGCCAGATTCGCATATTTCTCCTCTGTTACCATCGAAACCAGATGTGGGCTCTGTTGATGATCTCAGCAGTTGATGACATCAAATGGCAATGCTGTGTCCAAACAATAATCTCCCTTTGGCTACCCTGCATAAGTGAGATAATTGGACCCAATCTAACAAATCATTATGATTCCACATATCAAAAAATTTTCAGAGAAATTAACATTTTTAAAGAATACTTTAAAAATGGAGACCAAATTCACCAACTTCATTTGAAGTTGCTTACTTCAATCTGAAGTAAGGAAATTCAGATTAATAAAAAGGTGATCAGCTTGTCATATGTTTCCCAGGGGCAGTTTACTTAACATTATCTTCATAATCCAAAGAAACTACTAATCCCCAAGGGGCGTGTGATTCCTTGCTGAGGTGAGATCTCCTGTGAGCCAGTCCCTTTCAAACTGGCCAACCCAGTGTCAGGGCAAATAGAAATCAGCTCCTGTTGGTGATTGCATCAGTCTCATCAAATTATTGCTACTTTCAGCGCAGCACTACAATATTCTGAAAAATACACAAATAAATTTAGAAGAAAAACATTCTCATCAACGCCATTCATACCCTCATAATAAATTAACTTTCTTAAAAAATCTGCTATTTATATAATCCCCCCTTATTTTTTGAAGTGGAGAGGCTGACTGTAGAGGCGCAATAGCAGCCCCATGAGGCCTTTTCTGGCAGTGTAGGCAGAGCTTCTCAGTGGCTTCCCAGACACAGCCTCTTGCTTTGGTGCTGTTCTTCACTTGGAGGGCCAGACCTCAGCACGCCATCTAGCATTCAAGAACAACACCATGTCAGCAAACAGTGGTAAATTCAGCTACACAAAACACACTTAAGTAAAAGAAGCAATCATTTGATATTCCCTTCAAATTTTTAACTGCTGCCTCTAGATAAATTTCTGTGTATCACAACTAATCCATCAAACCTTTGGGGGATGAAACCCTTACTATTGGGCTAGACTAAACCAAATGCACCTGCTCATCATCCAGAGAAGGAAGCGTCCTGGGCACAGCTAAGGGTTCTCTGCTGTTCCCTCACTCCTCTCCTGGGAAGAGGACAGGCTTTTCTGCTTGGGCAGGCTTAGGGGCTGGATTGGGTCCTACTTCTCCCTGGCTTCTTGTTTTGGTCACTTTATTAGTACCATAAGCTGCCCATATTTATGTCGTGCAACCAGATGAGTTTTGACACCTGTGAAAGTACCACTACGGTCACGGCAATGCATTCAGTCAAGCCGCAGTTTCCTCCTGCCCCTTTGTGTCCTGTGGAGGGACTTGCCTGCCCTCCCTGCCGGTTAAGCTGTCACTAGGGACTAAGGCCTTCCTAAGTATGTGTGAAAAACCTTGTCTTTCTTCTTGTGAAATACTGGAAGCAACAAAAAGAGATATATATAATACAGATAAAAGTCCTAATGCACTGGGCCAGGTGCAGCAGCTTAGTGGCTAATGTCCTTGCTTTGCATGCGTCAGGATCCCATATGAGCCTCAGTTTGTGTCCTGGCTGCCCTACTTCCCATCCAGCTCCCTGCCTGTGTCCTGGAAAAGCAGTTGAGGATGGCCCAAATTCTTGGGACCCTGCACCACATAGGAGACCTGGAAGAAGCTCCTGGCTCTTGGCTTTGAATCAGCTCAGCTCCAGCTGTTGCGGCCACTTGGGGAGTAAGCCAGCAGATGGAAGATCTTTACCTTTTGTTTCTCCTTCTCTCTGTAAATCGAACTATCCAATAAAAATAAATAAGTCTTAGAGAGAGAGAGAGAGAGAGAGATCACTTCCATCTACTAAATCACTTGCCAGATGTCTCTAGTGACAAAGGCTGTGACTGGGCTGGTGCCATATCTTAGAACCAGTCAATCTCAGTCCCCCTGTGGGCAGCAGGTGCCCAGTTGCTGTGGCTAGCATTGCTGCATCCCAAAGGTTGCACTGAGAGAAAGCCGGAGGCAGCAACAAAACCCAGGCACTTGATGCGGGATGTAAGTGTTTTAACCAATAGTCCCCAGAGCACTTCTTTATATGTTCTAAATAAAATTCAGTGTTATGTATGAAAACACACTCTTCCAGTAGGTGCCTTGGAGAACAGGCATCTTTAACGGGGACTTACTCTGATTTCACACTCTTTTCCTTTATGATCAGTACTATGTCCTGTGTAAGATATCCTTTCACGGGCCTGGAGTGGTAGCCTAGTTGCTATAGTCCTCGCCTTGTACATGCTGGGATCCCATATGGGCACTGCTCCACTTCCCATCCAGCTCCCTGCCTGTGGCCTGGGAAAGCAGTCGAGGACGGCCCAAAGCTTTGGGACCCTGCACCCGCATGGGAGACCTGGAAGAGGCTCCTGGCTTTGAATTCGGCTCAGCTCCAGCTGTTGTGGCCTTTTGGGGACTGAATCAACAGATGAAGATTATCCTCTTTGACTCTCCTTTCTGTATATCTGTCTTTCCAATAAAAACAAAATAAAACTTAAAAAAAAGATTTATTTTTATTGGAAAGGTAGATTTATAGAGAGAAGGAGAAACAAAGATCTTCCATCCATTGGTTCACTTCCCAAATAGCTGCAGCAGCTGGAAATGAGGCAATCTGAAGCCAGAGCCAGGAGCTTCTTCCAGGTCTCCCATGTGGTGCAGGGTCCCAAGGGCCTGTGCCATCCTCTGCTTTCCCAGGCCACAAGCAGGGAACTGGATGAGAAACAGAACAGCCGGGACATGAACCAGCACCCATATGTGGTGCTGACACTTGAAGGTGGAAGATTAGCCTGTTGAGCCATCATCGTGCTGGTCCCTGCCATCCAGATTCTAACAAAATGTTCCTTTTACCACTAAATTGTCCTTTCAGGAGTGCATGGGTATCTGTATATTTTTACTACATTCTAAAAATCTCAGTGACTTTTAAGGTCTATTTGGGAAAGTGGTCAGTTGTGCCACTTGCCCCCTTCTCTTTTACCATTAGTACAGCATTGATAAGGCCTGAAGTAGCAAGTCTCCTGGGGTTGGAAAGACAGCTATGGCCAAAGGTCAGTCCCTAACTTTCCCACATTCCAATTCCTGTCTGTCTGATTCTTTTTGTTTTCACTGAATCAAAACTTGGGAAGAAACCATATATGGTGTGAATCCATCCATATGAAATGGCCAGAACAAATGAATCCAAAAACACATCAAGGACATTAGTGGGTGTCCAGAGCTATGGAGAAAGGCTAATTGAAAGCAACTACAAATGTAAGGCCTCTTTCTGAGATACTGAAAACTGTTCTGGAACGAGGCTGTGGTGACGTCTGCACACCGTGAATATACTAAAACACACTTCTATACCCTAAAGGGTACACATACCTTAATGTAGTTGTGAAATAATTGAAAAAGACATTTATTGACACAAAACATCTAAAAAATGCTTACATAAACTTATTGTTCAATGTTTATGGAAAAATATAATCAAAAGAGGAGAGAGAGAAGGGGATGTTGCTCCTTGCTCCTGGCTTGGCCCGACCCAGCCCTGGCTCTGTGGCTTTCGGGTATTGAGCAGAGCGTGGAAGAGGCTCCTCTCATTTCCTCCCTCTCTGTCACTCTACCTTTTACATAAATAACAAATTCTAAGGAAAGAAGTTATACTTTTTTTCTCCACATTACAAACACAAATTTACCCTTTGAACAAAGCAAGATTATTCAAAATACAGAGAATCAAGATATTCTCGCCAAAACTATTTTCGTAAAAAATTTCTATACTTTTTTCACTGTCAGAAAATAACAATGCCAAGAAAACACAGTATATTCCATTTAACTAGAATTCAAACAAATAAGTAACATATCTATTATCTTCAAATAATATGATCAAAATTATGTGCCCAAGGAATTTTACAATCTCTAAAGGATTCCATGGCATCTAAAATACCTGTCTGAATATGAACCTAATGCAGCCTAGTAACTCATCCATCCTGTGACCAGGCTGGGCAAGTGTGGCTGTGCTGCAGAACAAGGTAGCAACTTGGATCTTCCTCACTTGGTTCTAGACCTTTCTATCTTAATTACAAATGGTTTTCCTTTCTTATTGCCCGAGAAGATTTTGTTTTGATACAGAACAGTCCAATAATTTGTTTCATACAAATTTAATTTATAAACCGACTTATACGTGAAATTTGTAATAAACTGTAGACTCATAGATGAGTAATGAGGGCCTTTTTCTATGCATAAGTTTAGATACATAAATGTGTATGAATAAACTGAATAGTAAAATCCTAGATTGCCAAAAGAATAGTTTTTATCTGTTAAAACAATGACTTCTATCACCTGGTCACTAAGATGCACCATGTATCTTTTTCTTCAGCAACAGAGTTAATTGCAATTGCAAGATAGGTCTTGTAAAATACTTACTTTCTCTCCTTCCAGATGCATTTTGTTCAAGACCCTGGGTGCCTGATGGGTCCAGTTGCCACTGAAAGAGGTCACAAACATGTTACTTGCTTCAAAAGGGTTTAACAGACTTTGCTTCAGCATACTGCTTTTTAAATTTTAAATCATATAAGAGCAAGGAGTTAGTACTGTCTATATCAGCAAAGCCCTAATAATGGCTCCTGAGTGATCCTAGGTCAGAATCAGTAGCACTCTTAGAGAAGGGACTTTAACAATCCTACCCATTCGTTCTGCAGGTAAGAAGATGAGAGATTGCTGTGGCTTGCTCCAGGTTAAACACTTTTAGCAGCTGGGTCTGCTCAGGCCTGGCATTCTGGAATTTCATCACATTCCTATATCCAGGCACTACAGAATCTTTTAATCACTAGAGAAGGCCTAGGTATTAAAGAAAGAAAATATGACCAAGATTATTCTGCCTTTGAGTACAGTTGCATAAGCTTCTCTATCAGCTATCACATATCTTTTCTGAGTTTCCCATCTCAGTCATTCAGAAAGAAACAGGGAAACTTGAAGAATCTCAGATATCATAGCGAAGACAAGAGGAGCAGGAGAGAGACCAGGGTGTGAACGGAAGCTCCTAGCTTTGCTTTTTCAAATAGGCTGACTCTCTGTTAAAATCACTCATGACTTAACCGGAAGGGCCACTAGCTCTAAAGAAACGCAATTAGGCATGAATTACCTGAGAGCCTCTCCCACCAGCATGAGCTAGTTCATCAGATTAATTAATTAACATCTTGAGCCTTGGGTGGGGAGGCAATGCAAGCACTGAAAGTCCTTAGGAAAAGCAGGACATCTAGAACTGTCTGGTCACTTAGAGCAATGGGATGATTAGAGCTAGCACAGGGTAGGGGATCTACAATGGGTGAGAAACTAAACATACACACACAAAACAAGATGTGCATTTTGAAATCTGTCAAGCCACTAAAATATACTATTTTAGCAATTAAAAATACCCCAAATTTACAATTAATGATATTCACAAAATGGTTTTTCATAATTCAAAAACTTAGAAACAACCCTAGTGCTAAATACAGGGGAATGGTTAAATAAGTTAGATCTATAGGCTGGAATACTGCACAATTATTGGAAAAAATTTCAAGATGTATTTATTTATATTGAAAATCAGTTATGGAGAGGGACACACACACACACAAAGAGTGAGAGAGGGATGGATTCTATAGCCACCACGTCCAGTGCTGGGCTGGGCCAAAACCAAGAATCAGGAGTTTCATCCAGGTCTCCCACACATGTGATGAGGCTCAAACACTTGGGCTATCTTCTGCTGCTTTTCCCAGGCCTTTAGCAAGGAGCTGGGTCAGAAATGAAGCAGCCGGGAAACAAACCAGAGCCTATATGGGAGGCTGGCAAGTACAGACAGCTGCTTTACTTGCTATACCAACAATACTGGCCCTGAAAATATTTTTTGAAGACATGGAAAATACAACAACACGGTAACAATACTATCCAGAATCTGTGGAACAGTATATGTCCTTTTTTATTTCCTAAGTCTTCTATAACGAGTGTGTATTACTTTTATAATAAAACAATCTAAAGGGAAAAATCGACATCTATTAAACAGGAAAAAATCAAGTAAATGGACATGGAAATACAATAATAAAATCTATTCTGAAAACAGCACTGGGGCAGGCATGTGGTCCAGTGACTACGGCACTGCTTGGGATGCTGACATCCTGTGCCAGAGCGTGTGGGTTTGAGTCCTGCTACACTTGGATCCCAGCTTCCTGCAGTGTGCTCCCTAGGCGGCAGCTGGGTGCTGCTCAGGTGCTTACACCTCCGTCACCCACAGTGAATTCATGGCTCCTGGCTTCAGCCTGATCTAGACCCAGCAATTGCAGACACTTGGGGAGTGATCCAGATCTCTTTATCACAGGCATTTGGGAAGTAAAGCAAGATCTCTCTCTTCTTCTGCCTTTCAAATAAAAAGTTAGAAAAAAATGAATTTTTTTCCTTTATCTTCCACAGGATGTGTGTGTACCTTCTTAACTTATGTGGAATCTTAAAACTAATTTTTTAAAGATTTATTTTTTATTGGAAAGTCAGATTTACACACAGAAGGAGAGACAGAGAGAAAGATCCTTCATCCACCTGCTCACTCCCCAAGTGGCCTCAATGGCTGGAGCTGAGTAGATCCAAAGCCAGGAGCCAGGAGCCTGCCCTGGATTTCCAGGTGGGTGCAGGGTCCCAAAGCTTTGGGCCAGCCTCCAGTGCCCTCCCAGGCCACAAGCAGGGAGCTGAAAGGAGTGTGGGACTGCAGGGATACAAACTGAAGCCCACATAAGGATCTTGGCACACGCAAGGCAGGACTCCAGCCACTAGGTAACTCCACCCTTAAAACTACTTTCATTCCTACCCACTACTCCAAACAAGAAAGGAAGATGATGGAAAAGGTGGATTAGAGGTGCCAGTGTTGTGGTGTAGCCAGCCAGTAAAGTTACCACCTGTAAGGACGGCGTCCCATACAGGTGCTGGACCAAGTGCCGGCTGCTCCACTTCTAACTCAGCTCTCTGCTAACGTGTCTGGGAAAGCAGCAGAACATGGCCAAAGTGTTTGGGGTCCCCGCACCCACATGGGTGACCCAGCAGAAACTTGAGATTCATCTTGGTCCAACCCTGGCCATTGTGGCAATTTGGAGAGTGATCCAGTGGATGAAAGCTCTCTGTCTTTCCTCCTCCTTTTCTCTTTCTGTGCAACTTTTTCAAGTAAATAAATGTATAACAGAAGTGCAGCAAGGACTGACATGGCCAGATGTGAAGACATAGTGTAGTATGCATCTCTGCATTCAGACCAAAGAATTCCCAGTGAAACTGTTGAAAATACCCTGGCAGTAGGATGCCGGACTCGCTGACATTGTCCATGCCTACAGTGTCAGGAAACACTTAACAGCGGAATGATGGACTTAATGACTGTTCCTGAAGGACTATCCATTGCAGTACTAGAGGGGAAATCAGTAAGGGAGGAAAGGGACTTGGGGAAGGGGACAGGAAACCCCACAGACTATGGAACTATATCATAAAATAGCAATAATAATTTTAAAAAAGAAAAAACAAAGTCAATAAAATATTTTTTTAAAGAATAAAAAAAAAAGGCAGATTAGAAGTTTTCTTTTATCAGCCACCAGAGGGCACCAAAGGTCTCACTGCCTCAAGAGACAGAGTTTCCAAAGGGACAAAACCTTAAGGCCCGAGATTCCTGGCTAAGTATTTGTAGTGAGGGATATGTTTGCACATAAAATAGACTCAATAACCTGTTGGAACTTTTTAAAAGAGTTGGAATCACTCACTTACAATAAACAATGTACCAAACAACGTGATAATAAGTACATCTAGAAAAAATGTGTAGCTACTTACTGTGAATTTGCTAACACCCTCAAGTTCCCCAAACTTCATGTAAGAGATGTCTGCCTTCTTTTTTCCAACATCTACATCCCCTGCATAGATCTGTTTTATTCCTGCACCTTTAATTAAAGGTACACACTCATCACATGGACACTTGGTCACAAAAATCATGCTTCTTTCTTCTGGTTTTATTTCTTGACACCTATAAAAATTTATAATATATTTAAAAACGTAGATACTGAAAAGTAAGTTGTTAATACAAATATTTAAGCACTAAACTTTAGCTATTTTAAAAACACAACACTGCAAATATATTCAAGCATTATTTTTGCTAAATTAGTGAATGTTTAGATTATGTAAACCCATAAAAATGCTATAATACTAAATGATCATGACAATTTTTACAAATAGAATTTATCTAGTGATTCTAAGCCATTGGGAAAATGTTCAACATCATTACAAAGTAAATGAAAACAGAGACAGTATAAAAGAGGAGAGAGATCATACACAAAAGAAAAGAACACTTTCTAAGTATTAGTTCAATGTCCCTTATTTGAAATGCTTGGGACCTGAATTGTTTCACACTTTGAAGTTTTTTGGGATTTTGGAACATTTACACAGCCTTTATCTGTTGAGTATTCCTGAACCGAAACTCTGCAATCTGAAATATCCAAAATGTGAAACTTTTTGAGTATCACGTTGGTGCTTTAAAACTTAATCTTATTTTGGATTTTCAGAATGGGCATACTCCTTGTAATACTGAAATCAGACATTAAAATTAATAGCTGTCTTAAATTGTACTTATATACTGAAGTTTAAGTACTGTTTTGAATTATAGCTTCCTTACTCTTTCCCTGTCACAATTTTATTTAATAAACATGTAAATTTTGCATATTCACAGTACCCTACAAAATAAAGTAAGTAGATACGTAACGGAAAGAAAAAGGAAAAGAACAGAGATGTGTTTATGGGTGGGTGTTGGAGGTGTGAACTTCTGCATGCTGGAGGCCGTTCAAGACTAAGCACCGCCCATTCTATTTTCTGGTTTTCAACCACTATCTTTAACTCCCCCACTGCTAAGGTTCCATACCCATCTCCCTGGTTGAAATTTAGTTTATTCATTCTACACAACCAGTCTTTCCAAACACTACAACTGTTGCCCAGTAATCTACAGAGTGCAGTTTTGCCAGTGTTGTTCCATTTCCCCATCGCCCACCAATGGTTTGAACTCAAAGTCTATTGTCCAGGCCCAGCCTAATCATATAAGCAGCATTCAGTACAGCCTAACTAGAACCCATGTTCTTAAACATTCTTTGCATTTTCCTATTGTAGACTGTTGATTAAGCTACAAGCAAGAATGGTCTTCCCTTCAAGAAAAATCTCCACTTGTCACAATCTCAGCTACCCTTTCAGTCTCCTCTCAAACGCCCCTTCTTCTACACAGCTTATCTCCAGCCCTGCCTCCTTGTAGCAATCTCTGAGTGTCCACAGCACCTTGTCTCTCCCATAGCACTGAGTGCATTAGATGGACACAGCCTTATGTTTGTATTCCCTAATCCATTAGGAGATCCCCAGGACAGAAGCTATTTCTTACTCAGTTTAACACTCTAGTCTTATCCTCTTAATGGTAAATGCTAAGAAACATCTACAGCAATGACATAAACTATGCTTAAAAGAATTAATGCCAGTGATAGCAAAATTACTTTAACAAAAATTCTAACAAGATCCCTTAAATTTGATTCACAGTAAAGTCCACATACTCATAAACATAAATACAGAAAACAAAGGAGATCTTAGTATACCAAAAATAAAAATAAAAAAAGGATGCTAAGAAAGTTTGAAGCAGCTTCATTTTGGAGAGACAGAGGGAAGAAAAGGGACTTCTTCAGTAAACTGGAAGTCCTGGAAAAAAAAAAATCTATGGCAACAGAAGCAAAGACCAAGCTCACCAAGGGTATGCTTCTGAAAAGACTATTTCTTAGACTTTTTAAGAAGAAATAAATTTCAACTAAAAGAAAACTAATTTCAAGTAACACTTACTAGATTATAAATACATACCTAAATGTCAAGGCATTCTGTTCTGCATGTATGATATATCTGAATTTCCTTATTTCTCGGTCTTTCTGCTTGTCATCCATGTGTGGGAAATCAGCATACTCAGATCCAACAGGAAAAGCGTTGTAACCACATCCTACGAAGTACATGGCACCTGTTCCATCACAACTTCTCTACGGAAGTGAGCAAACCAACCATAGTTAGTGTTAACCTTCTGAAAAGGCACGTGGCAAGGTATTTTTAAAGTTTGCTATCATTCTTTGTGTAAGGAATAAAATAAAATTGAGCCATGAGATAAACACAGTTATCAGATCGTCCTACTGCAGTGTGGTCTTGCCAAATCTAAATCCCAAGAATGATGACTTCTGTAGTCTGTAATCTCAGGGCAGTGCCTTAGATTTAGCAGATAATAAAATGCTACACTGTTTAAGTCATATATTGTTTTTGCTTGATTCAAATGTTTATCCTTGGATGGAAAATAGAATCTTGGAGAACTGAAATCATGTTTCAGATTTTTTTCTATCCCTTACAGTACAATATTACATTTATAGCATGTACTCAGTTATGAGTTAATTTCTTATTATGCTCTGTGCTATGGTACTGGCTAACAAGTCTGAAACTTAAAAACCATAGACACACATAGGATAACAACCTTTTATCAATGATAGAACATACATATGACAGTGGTCCCATAAATTACAACACCTAGTGACATCAGAGCTATTTCTGAGTAAGTATACTCCATGACATTCGCACAAAATTATCTAATCATACATTTCTGAGAACAAATCCCTGATTTTAAGAGACAAACAACTACATTTTGAACAATCTCTGTTGCTAGGATATAAATATGCTATTGTTGGGCCACCTCCTGCAGTGCCAGCAGCCCATGTGGGTGCCAGTTCAAGTCTTGGCTGCTCCACTCCCTATCCACCTCCCAGCTAGTGGCCTGGGAAAGTTGCAGAAGATGGCTCAAGTGCTTGGACTCTGCGACCCACTTGGGAGACCTGAGGAAGTTCCTGGCTCCTGGTTTGAGACTGGCTCAGCACTGGCTGTTGTGGCCATCTAGAAAGTGAACTGGCAGATGGAAGATCTCTGTACTTTCCACTTTTCCCCTCTGTAATTCTTTCAAATAAATCTTACCAAAAAAAAAAAAAAGTGCTACTGTGACCCAGTTGAAAAAGAAAAATATGCTTTTTTTTTTTTTAAACAATCTTTACATAGTTAATTGGGGTAAAAAAAGGTTCCAGGGCTATAGGAAAGTGGGTAAGACTATTATTTCCATATTGTTTCCTTCATGTTTAAAGGAGGGTATTAAGGGAGAAGGCCCACCCAATTTCCCACCCTCCCCAGGTCCCGCATGTAGGGTATGCTCCAAGGTTCTTGCTCAAGTTAATCAACCATCTCAGCTATATGTTGAAAAATATGTTTTAAAATTTGTTTTTGAATTTTTCTTTTGAATTTTGAATTTTATCATATAATTCTGTAGAGTCTGGGATTCCTCCCCTTCCCCCAAAAAATGCACTTTTAAAAATTATCAATATATAGGGCCCAGCACGATAGTGTAGTGGCTAAAGTCCTCGCCTTGCACACCCGGGATCCCATATGGTTGCTGGTTCTAATCCCAGCAGCCCTGCTTCCCATCCAGTTCCCTGCTTGTGATCTAGGAAAGCTGTTGAGGACGACCCAAAGCCTTGGGATCCTGCACCCGCGTGGGAGACCCAGAGGAGCTCCCGGCTCCTGGCTTCAGATTGGCTCAGCTCCAGCCACTGCGGTCACTTGGGGAGTGAACCATTGGACGAAAGATCTTCCTCTCTGTCTCTCCTTCTCTTTGTATATCCGCCTTTCAATAAAAATAAATCTTTACAAAAAATTATCAGTATCTAGATCATTATATGTCTATGTTATTATAGAACTTTTTACTTCAGGGGCTTTTTTTGGTCAATGGAATATTATTTGTTAATATGAATGTTTTTATCAATTATTTGAATGGAATAGTTTATCAATGATTTTATAATAGTGTTTATAATAGTTTGGAATAACCTATAATAAGCCTCATCAAATTTCGATATATCATAAACATTCAAAGGTATTAACAAGATCATTACTGTAGAAGCTTAATAAATAATAGTATGTCATGGTGAGCCAACAAGATTGAAAATAAAGTATTATCACATTAATATGTTGTCCTTGAGCATTTACTAGATGTCAAACCTCATGCTAAATGTATATGCATTATTTAATTTGACTAATCCTCCAAACAAGTACAGTTATTGTTCCCATTTCACAGATAAGGAAACTAAGGCCACAGTCATAAAACTAATTAGCAACATAATCAGAATTCAAGTCCAGGTTGCTTGACCTCAAATTTGTAGGTTTTCTACTTTTTCATGCCACCTACCTGAATTACAAATAACTGGAAACTAAAATCTCATGAAGTTAGGCAAAGGCTGTGAAACTGTCACATAAACCTAAGATAAGTATTCCAACCTTGGCCAGCACTGAGCTCAGGGCTGTACACTGGACAGAGACCCTGTCCCCACCAGCCGCCTAACTGAAGAGAAGGAGCAACTGGACACAAAGTGTGAGGAGCTGTACCGAATGCTACGGGAATGTCGCGCACAGCAACCCGTTCTAGCAGGGGCACAGTTTAAGGCAAAGGTATTTTGAAACTGGAATCTATTAGCATTAAAATGACTAACTATAGTTCCTCATCATGTCGTTCCATGCCCTTCTAACTCACCCCAGTAACTCTAAGTCCTCATACTATCTCTAATGTCCCTTTTTGCTGTCAAACCTCACTTTGTTTCTTATAATGTAATTCTAATCAAATCTTCACTTAAAAGATCCTTATACTGCACTGTCAATATGGAAGCAGCTAGACACCTGTAGTTAGTTTGAACTGAGAAGTGTTGTAAGTGCAAAATATACATGAAATTTTCAAAACTAGAGTTTTTATTAATAGTGTTTACATGTTGAAATAACTGTACATTTTATATTAAGTAAAATAATTCTTAAAATTAATTCACTTATTCACTTTTTATTTAGCTATTTCGTTCGGAGACAAAGACAGAAAGGGGAGCTCCCATTCACCAGTTCATTCCTCCAAATGCCCACAAGAGCTAAAGCTGCATCAAAGCCAACACTGCGGGCCTGGCATGATAGTGTAATGGTTAAGGTCCTCGCCTTCAATGCGCCAGGATCCCATATGGGCGCTGGTTCTAATCCTGGCGGTCACGCTTACCATCCAGCTCCCTGCTTGTAGCCTGGGAAAGCAGTCGAGGATGGCCCAAAGCCTTGAGATCCTGCACCCGTGTGGGAGACCTGGAAAGAAGATCCTGGCTCCTGGGTTTGGATCGGCACAACACTGGCTGTTGAGATCACTTGGGGAGTGAATCATTGGATAGAAGATATTCCTCTCTGTCTCTCCTCCTCTTTGTACATCTGCCTTTCCAATAAAATAAACAAATCTTAAAAAAAAAAAAAAAGCTAACACTGGGAGCCAGGGACTCATCCCAGGCATTCCATGTGGGCGTCAGCAACTCAATGACTTCAGCCATACCACTGCTTCCAAAGCTTCATGCTGGCAGGATGCTGGAGTAGAAGGGCAGGACCAGACACACAAACTGAATTCAAGTACTCCAATATGGTATGCAGATTTTTTTTAAAGATTCATTTTATTTTTATTTTATTTTTATTGAAAAATCCCTGGAGCTGAGCTGAGCTGGAGCCAGGAGCCAAGAGCTTTCCGGGCATCTCACACGTGGGTGCAGGGTCCCAAAGCTCTGGGCCATCCTCAACTGCCTTCCCAGGCCACAGGCAGGGAGCTGGATGGGGATTAGATCAGCCAGGACACAAACCAATGCCCAAAAGGGATCCTGGCGCATTCAAGGTGAGCATTTTAACCACTGAACCCTTGTGCCAGGTCTGATGTTTTAACCAGCATGTTAACTGCTAGGTTAAATACTCATATACCTTTTTATTTTTTATAAAAGATGCATGGGATAATGTGACACAGTGGGTAAAGCTGCAACATGCATTACCAGTATCCCATATAGGAACCATTCAAGTCCCTGATACTCCACTTCTGATTTAGCTTCTTGCTAACGACTTGGGAAAAACAGGGGAAGAAGGCCCAAGTGCCTGGGCCCCTGTTACTCAGGTAGGAGACCAGGAGGATGCTCTTGCTTCCTGGCTTTGGCCTGGCCACATCTTGGCAATGTAGCCATCTCAGAAGAGAATCAGCAGATGGACGCTTCTCTTGCTGCCTCTTCCTTTTTCTCTGTTAACTCTTTCAAATACATGAATCTTTTAAAAGGATTTCTTAAAAATATTTATTTGGGGCCCGGCGTGATGGCGCAAGTGGTTAAGGTCCTCATTTGCACGCCCAGGATCCCTTACGGGCACCAGTTCTAATACCGGCAATCCAGCTTCCCTTCCAGCTCCCTGCCTGTGGCCTGGGAAAACAGTTGAGGACGGCCCAAAGCCTTAGGGCCCTGCACCCGTGCGGGAGACCCGGAAGAGGCTCCTGGCTTCGGATCGACATAGCATAGGCCATTGCGCTCACTTGGGGAGTGAATCATCGGACGGAAGATCTTCCTCTCTCTTTCCTCCTCTCTGTATATCCGCCTTTCCAATAAAAATTAAAAAAAAAATCTTAAAAAAAAAAAACTTATTTGGATGCAGTATAGCAGCCTAGTGGCTAAAGTCTTCGCCTTGCATGCCCAGTATCCCATATGGGAACCGGTTCATGTCCTGACTGCTCCACTTCCTAACCAGCTCCCTGCTTGTGGCCTGGGAAAGCAGTAGACAATGGCCCAAAATCTTGGGACCAAGCACCTGCATGGGAGACAGGAAGGAGGCTCCTGCCTACTGGGTTTGGATCAGCTCAGTTCCAGCTGTTGCGGCCTTTTTGGGAGTAAGCCAGTGGATGGAAGATATTTCTGTCTTTCCTTCTCTCTGTAAATCGACCTTTTCAATGAAAATAAAATTTAAAAAGCATTTATTTATTTGAAAGGTAAAATGTCAAATTGGGATGGAGGTAATAGGCAGAGACAGGTGTTGGAGTAGATGAAAAGAGGGCGAGAGACTGATTTCTTACCCATGACTCACCCCACAAATGTCTGAAGAGCCAGGGATGCACCAGGACCAAAGCAGGAGCCAGGAACTCCATGCCTCCTAGTGCATCACTAGGAAGCCAGATGACGGGGGTGAAACTTGATATCTGGCATTCCAATATGGGAAAAAGGCATGCCAAGTGACATGTCGACCCATGAGCGATAATCCTGCTCTTCTTACTGTTCAAATGTGGCTTCCAGATATATCCAACATTATATAAGAGGGCATTTCAAAATGTTTGTGTAAAAAGCAAATTGAGAGGATCTGATTTGGGCACCCCCAAAATTGACATCTGTATATAGCTTGTTTTTATAATATGTATTTTCTATGACCATTTCCATCTTTAAATATTTTGCCTTTTATTTCCACAAGCTAGGGCAAGACAATTTCTATATTCTACCCCAGAGCGGAGCAGCAGGACAGGAGGAGGCTTGTATCCCAATCATAAGGACTCCTGGACTCCCACCAAGGTCTATCAGAACGGGCACCAAGGATGTCATCACAACTGCCAAAGAGAACACGGAGAACTGAAACGCCTCCAGAGGCCGAGAATTCAGAGGACAGACATTCTCCCTCTTTGGACAAACTACACGAGATGAGAGAAGCCCGAGTCCTTCCACATAGGATTCAACGTCATCAGAACAACAGCCAGGAACCACGATTGGTCATCAGAATCAGAAGAACAATAAACTTCCTTTGGGAAATGGGAGAGGAGCCTTCTCCAGTCCTTGCCTAGTTCCAGCTCTGGGCCTCCACCCTCTACAATGACCATCAGGGTTGCTCCAGAACCTCCTCCCCCACAACACACACACATACACACACAAATAGGAATAGATAAGCAGAGAACAATAAAGAAAGATAGGTCATCAAGGACTCACACATACCCTGCTAGGTAGAACACAAAGAACAAGTACTCATCACCAAGGTATGAGAGATTTCTCTGCAACACCCCCCCCCCAAACCTGTTATGCACCTCAATTGTTAAAATGTCATTGAATAGTCGCAGGAGGTTGTTAAGAATTTACATGTAATTTCAACATATTGTTCACACAATACTATGTCAATTAACTCCATAACGATTTATATTGTCGCTGCTGGGGCTTTTAATTGATCAGGATCTTGCTCTTTTGGCCATACTTTCAGACCAGGGAAGGTCTCCCCAAGAAGCGGATGAATTTATCTGGACAACAAGATGCTGACCTCTACGCTTGGTATATGCTTGCGGTGAAGGTGTCTCAACTGATCTTGAACTGAGGTCTCACAACAGGGTGGAGGAGTCCACCATGGAGGGAGGGGTGGGGGAAATCCCAGTACCTATGGAACTGTATCTCATAATACAATGTAACCAATAATTTAAAAAAATAAATTATATAATAAAAAAATTTCTATATTCTAAATGGTTTACATGGAATAAAAGGTTCTTCATTGGAGTATAGCCCAATTTTTCCTTCATTCTGTATAGGACTCTGGACCCTAACAAATCACTTGCATTTTAGATATTCTCTCATTCCCCTATCGTTGCACTTTTCTTCTAATCCCCCTAATTTGCTCTCATGAGTGCCTATTCATTCTTTAGGATTAATGCTATGTTACTTCCTCTAAAAATATCTCATACATTGAGCCTGGTGAGGTAACCTAGCGGCTAAAGTCTTTGCCTTGCACACAGCGGGATCCCATATGGGCACCGGTTCTAATCCCGGCCGCCCTGCTTCCCATCTCTGCTAGTGGCCTGGGAAAGCAGTCAAGGACAGCCCAAAGCCTTGGGACCCTGAACCTGAGTGGGAGACCCAGAAGAGGCTCAGAGCTCCTGGCTTTGGATTGGCTCAGCTCTGGCTGTTGTAGCCACTTAGTGAGTGAATCAATGGACAGGATATCTTCCTCTGTGTCTCTCTTCCTCCCTGTATATCTATATGTGGCTTTCCAATAAAAATAAATTCTTTAAAAAAACCTCATACATTTTCTAAAGGAAAACAGTGGTTCTTCCTCTATGCTTTCACACCATTAGTTATAATTACATTTCTGTGCCAGTTACTTCTTTGTTTCTCTAGCTCCTTCATTAGACCATGAGGCATGAAATCCAAAAATTGTGCTCATGATACCCCCAGTGTGCACTGTAGCAGTGTTTAAGCTGTAGGTGTCCAGTGACTCTTTGCTAAGTAAATGATTCTAGCTAGAAAATTGTAGAGGGAATTAGTATTTGTGGAACTTAATAAATGCACCAGGATAAAAACCTCAATGGGCCAATAAAATGAAATGCAAACTGCTATTACATGCTGTCTAAAGAACTGGAAGGAGGAGCTGCCTGGCTCCAAACACAATGAAACAATAAGGAAATGGAGACCTGCTTTACTTTACTTGATCCACTTATGCAATGTCCATGTCTATATATTGCCCTATGCCCTGTGAAAATAAATATCGCAAGCTAATCAAATAGTTGAAAATTTTTAATGCAAAGCATTGAAAACTAAATCATGCTGAAACAAAAAAAAATCATGTTTAATATTTAAAGAATTATTTGCGTACTTACTGACTTCCCTTCTGCCCAAATGACTGCGCCAACTCCAGTTTTGTGATCCTCTGAAAGATATGTCACTTAATTCAGTAAAAATCCAAATGACATTTTTCCCAAACAGCATGAAAATATATATTATGAAACCTACTTCATAAATGTAGTAGCAATCCCTTAATCACCACTGATTTTCATAGGATAGTATTGAAGCTTTAATGTATTGAATATGGAGCTAGGTACTCAACACTAGATGGGGTCACTATAGTCACATATGATGTACATGAGGTGTCATCAAAAGTTTATGGAAAATACATATGATGAAACAAAACTTATGCATGGTATATGCAATCTATGCATCATATTTACTGTTTTTTTAAAATATTTATTTATTTTTATTGCAAAGTCAGAAATTCAGAGAGGAGAAGACAGAGAGGAAGATCCTCTGTCCAATGATTCATTCCTCAAGTGACCTCAACAGCCAGTGCTGCACCGATCCAAAGCCAGGAGCCTCTTCTGGGTCTCACACTCCGGTGCACTGTCCCAAGGCATTGGGCCATCTTCAACTGCTTTCCCAGGCCACAAGCAGGGAGCTGGATGGGAAGCGGGGCTGCTGGGATTAGAACTGGTGCCCATATGGGATCCTGGTGTGTGCAAGGTGAGTACTTTAGCCATTAGACCACCACACTGGGCCCCCATATTTACATTTTTATGTTGAAGACGTTGAATTTCTTTACATTGGGTCTCAGTGTTTTTGGATAAAGGTTTATGGATCATTTATCTTTGGATAGAAAAGTATTTCTTTTACCACTCAACACATACTATGTTCAGTGCTAAGGAAAAAATGACAAAGACGTAAGGTTTCTTTCCCAGAAACTCACAGCGGAGTATATAACAGTGATTTACATCAGGATTTGAGTTTCAGACCCAAACCAAAAATCATCCACAGTCAAAAAATCAAACCTTGAAAAGTTGTTTAAATTGTCTATCAAGTACACAAACATATCTTTGTGTACAGAACTCTCATGGTAATAGTAGATAAATTTATAATGTGAATTATATTGATATAGTAGCATATAGTACCTAATGAAGAATATGGATACAAATGTGTTATCTATATATACTGCATCTTTTACACAGTGGCGTCCCAGGTGGTTTGCTGTGTAATTTCATGAGAAGCAAGAGATGCTGAGATGAAGTAACAGGACGGCAGATTCTCATCTCCTGGACCAGAGCTTTGCTTCATTCTAATTAATGAAGGGATTGTGATTTATGCCTGAAACAGCTGTCCCTACATACAGCTATCTTACCAGAATGGTTTACAGAAAAATTCTTTACAAACCCACCATTAGCAAAGGGACTAATACATAACTCATGATACAAGATAGTTATGCTAGACCAGATCTGTATACAATGCAGTTGTTTAGGACCACATGGAAAGTTCTTGGAAAAACAAAATCAAAAGATATGGATATCTTGGTGCAAAAAAAAAAATGCTGGAAATTCATGCAGTCTTATCATTAAGGGCATTTTTAAAATATGAACTTTCTGATAATTCCATGGATATGTGTATAAAATCAAAGTCTTTAATAAGAATTACATTGCTGTCAAAATATCTTGCAGAACGTTAAGAAAACATGATGGCCAGGAGCCAGTTTTAACAAGGCCACTGTAGGGGGCATCAGTGATTCCTGAAAGTTTTAACGGAGCTGCTGCTGTGCTGCCAGTTGAGACTCTCCATTCTACTGAATCTACTTTCAGCTGTGGTCTCACCTAAGCATATACTGTATTCCAGTGACATCAGTATAGATATTTGCTGATTTTCTCCTTTTCTTAGTTGGGAAAATTTTAAAATCTTACTACAATTCACAACCCAAACAAACCCTATCTCCCCATCCCCTTACCTACATCCCCCTTTCCCTGCTTATCACAAAGCTACATGTTAAAACATGATCATGAATCTTCAAATCTTACATCAGGGAAAATGTACAAATACCATTCCAAAATAGGAAATATGGATACATCTTGATCACAAGAAATTCCCAAGCAACATTCCCTGTTTCCACCTACACAATGTAATAAAGTAAAGTTGATTTCTTGATGAGACATAATCAAGACAATCTGCCAATATCTGCGTTCCTCCACCTTGATTCTACTGGTTATTTTGAGTATTTTGAAAGGTTTCTATTTATGGGTCCGGCGCATTGGCCTAGTGGCTAAAGTCCTCGCCTTGCACCCGCCAGGATCCCATATGGGCACCCAGCAGTTCCACTTCCCATCCAGCCCCCTGCTTGTGCCCTGGGAAAGCATTTGAGGACGGCCCGATGCCTTGGGACCCTGAACCCGTGTGGGAGACCTAGAGGAAGTTTCTGGCTCCTGGATCGGTGCAGCACTGGCCATTGTGGTCACTTGGGGAATGAATCATCGTATGGAAGATCTTCCTCTCTGTCTCTCTTCCTCTCTGTCTCTCTACCTTTCCAATAAAAATAAAATAAATCTTTTAAAAAAGAAGCTGTGGTGTCCTCAAGGGACCTGTTCATCTCCTGGCACCAAATCAGTGACAGTATGCCCACCAGTACTGCCAAGAAAAAAATTTTTTTTTAAGTTTCTATTTAACATTTATTAAATACTTAAGAATTTTTTGAAAATGATTTTGGTTCCTTTTCCTTTCTCTTTTTGTCCAGTCTTTAGAGGAGGGCTCAGTGAATGAAAAATCACAAAAGCAAGCAGCTCTAAGGGCCTAGACTCTCAGACCCTGATTAACAGGTGTAGTATTGAAGACAGGCCACAGGGAATCTTAAAATTGCTTGAAGAGTTATCTTCTCAGGGGTCTCCTTAACTCATCTATATTGAACAAACAGCAAAACTTTAGTGTCTAGCAGTAACTAACTCTGCCACAGATGATGTGAATACCATTTTACTTCTAAGACAAACACACCCCAAATCATCAGTCCCAATTTATGAACTAAGCATGTAACTCACCAGTTCGATATGCCAATAATCTGGCCTGAACCATGCAGTGCCTTGCAATTTCTTGTGGCAAACTTTGATTGTGAATCTCATTAATCTGTTCTGGACTGTTACAATAAAATCCAAAGTGTTTAAAGCTGGGCACACTGGAAGCCACTGTGGCCAAAAGCAGGATCAGGTCTTTCATGTTTTGCCGTAGGTTGCTGAAGTATGGGTTTTCACACAGGTTCTCCAAACCTATTGTCATCAGTATTTGCTTATGCATTTCTTCATTGGAAACCAAAAATAACATTTCATATTCCTTTATTCTTTCTTGTTTACATTCAGAATAAAAGTCAATATTAGCATCAGGTAATGTTTTTGTAATTTTTTGAACAAAGTCACATTTGTAAGATGTCTCCTCTACAAACTGTACCATATAACACACCAAAGGTTGAAGTAAGACACACACATGGGCCCGACTATTTGACTTCAATCTTTCCACGGCTTTGGCATCTAACTTTGCATCTTCAGAACTAGAAGCCTCAGTGAGCAGACTTATTTCTGGATCAGCAGGCCAATATGAAATTCGGTTAACTCCAGCTGAAATACAAAATAGGATACAATGTGAGCTGAACCCACCTACCCTATCACTACAGTGATTCAAGGGGTTCCAATAGAATAAATATCTTTTCCCATTATACAGCCTGAAGGGTGGCAAACTACCATTCATAGGCAAAACTCAGTCCATGTCAGTTTTTGTGCAGTTTACAAGTTAAAGATGGGTTTTATATTTAAAAAAAAAAAAAAGTTGCAATGGGCCCAGTGCAATGGCTCAAATAGATAAGCCTCCCTCTCCCTCTCAAGCACCAGGATCCCATATGGGCTCTGGTTCATGTCCCAAGTGCTCCACTTTCCATGCAGCTCCCTGTTTGTGGCCGGGGAAAGCAGCAGTGGATGGTCCAAGGCCCTGGGACCCTCTACCCGCATGGAAGACCCAAAGAGGCTCCTGGATCCTTGATTGGCTCAGCTCCAGCCATTGTATATCTGCCTTTCTAATAGAAAAGAATCAATCTTTAAAAAAAAAAGTGACAAAAAAATGAAATAAATATTTTGACACATGAAATGACAGAAAACACAGATTTCAGTGTCTATATATAAAGATTTACAAATTCATTCACAGTCTTCAACTGCTTTTCATAGTTGAGTTGAGTAGCTAGAAAAGATACCAGATGGCCTGCAAAACCAAAAATCCTTATTTCCTGGGCTTTTCTTAGAATTTCAACTAGAAAAGGCTTCTTCTTCCTTTTTTCCCCCCATTTCTTTTTTTGGTGCGTGCACAGAAGCCAACAGCAAGATAGCTCACATGTTTCCCACTCATCAAAGTAGTAGAAGCTATGCCTGAATCACTGTGGCTTAGGCTACAAAGTGATTTGGAAGGCTTTACAATTCCTAATGGCGTTCCCACTGGCTGCATTTCATCTTCCCTCTGTTACGATTCTCTTAATCCAGCCAGCAGTATTAGTGAACTCATTTTTTAAAAAAGATTTATTTATTTTTATTACAAAGTCAGATATACAGAGGGGGGAGAGACAGAGAGGAAGACCTTCTGTCAGATGATTCACTCCCCAAGTGAGCGCAATGGCCGGTACTGTGCCAATCCGGAGCCAGGATCCAGGAACCTCTTCTGGGCATCTCACACGGGTGCAGGGTCCCAAAGCTTTGGGCCGTCCTCGACTGCTTTCCCAGGGCATAAGCAGGGAGCTGGATGGGAAGTGGAGCTGTTGAGATAGCCCATATGGGATCCCGGGCGCATTCAAGACGAGGACTTTAGCCGCTAGGCCATGCCACTAGGCCCCGTGAACTCATTTTTAACATCTTAGTTGTTTCTGCTAATCCTGATCCAAAAAGAGGGAATGAATAATCTTTGGATAATTGTTCTTGTTCTAGTGGCAAATGTTACAGCAGCAGTTCTTAAACTTTTTGATTTTAGGATCCCTTTTTACTCCTAAAAGTTAAGGCCCAAGGAGTTTTTGTTTATGTTGCTTATAGATTAAATATACTGCGTTGAAAAACTAAAAAAAATTAAGCATTTATTAATTCACTATAATTAAACAATACATAATACATTATATGTAAAAATAATACATTACTACATGGTAAACTCCCACTTAGAGGTGGTTTTGCTTTCTGGTTTCAGTTACTTAGTTAACTGTGCCACATCATTACAAGATGCCTGAATACAGTACAATAAAGATGTTTGGGGAGAGCAAACACAGTCACCCAAGTTTATTACAATAATTGTTGTAACTGTCCTATTTCACTGCTAGTTATTGGTAATCTCCTACTGTGCCTAATCACACATCATCACAGGTATGATACGAAGGAAGAAAAAAAACCAGTATCTACAGGGTTCAGTACTATCTGGGCTCAGGCATCACTGTTGGGTCCTGCAAAGTATCCCTTACTTCCCATGGATAAATTAGAACTGGTATAAATAACATAGCTTCTCAAGAAAAACACCCCACATCTTCTTAGGCAACAAAAATTAGTGATAAGAATGGCACTGTTTAAAATTTTTACAAATATATTCATTGGCTTAACAGAGGACAACTGGATTCTTAGTTTTTCTTTGCTTTCAATCTTATATAACAGGTTGTTTTCATTGAAACACACACAGGGTTTATATATATATATAAACCCTGGTCTCATACAGATATAAACTTGAAAAGTAAGTACTTTATATCTTTTCAAATAACTGCATCTATTCTTTGATACTACAGAAAGCTGGCACGGGCGTTGTACCACATCCTCACACCATTTCTTCTGCTGTGCCATCAGCCCATCCGGCAATTACAACCACTCCGCTGCTGAGGCCTGTTCGTAGCGTCACATGCTTACTGTTTGGAAGACACTTCTTTAGTGTCTCCTTTTTCAAAAAAATAATATTCCCATTCATGAGTATCACTGCAAATTTCATCAGAAGAGGTTAAATGCTGGGAAATGGTGGATATAATTTTTTTAAAAAAACTCTCACTTTTGTTTGGAAGCTCAAATGTTATCACTGGCAACAAATACTGTCAGCTGTTTCATTTCTTTTTTTTTTTTTCAGAAAATGCCTGCAAAATAGCCATGCTTTAGTCACCAGTTCACCGTGTTCCTTGAAAAAAGTGGATAAATCAGTTTGCAACACAAAACAACCTCCTAAGTGGTTTTCCTAAGGCTTAAAACCAAATGCCTTACACCTTATCTTCCTCAGAACATTGTAAGTATGTTTACTCATGGGGTGGGACTTTATAAAATTAACCATTTCTCCTGATGCATCAAAGACATTTCTTACATGAAACTTTTTTTTTCCTTCAAGTATAATGAAGAGTGCAACTTGCCACCACCGCCTCGATTCATACTTTGGCACAAGTAGTCACACTCATCATTGTTTTTGCTTTATTAGTACAAACATAGTGTTATCATGGAAATGGTGTTGATCTCATGGCCCAAAGGCCATGTTTTTATTTTTGATAATGTTTAGGCCATTCAGTTTTGCAGCTCTCCACTGGAGCCCTAGCCTGTCATCACAATGCATCTGCTTCTCCCTTCCACGAGCACTGATCCTGGAACCCCGTGCCGGTCGATGACTACACTAGTGCTGTTCCGTATGACAGCACTGCTTTCTTTCGCTGTGTCTAACTCCTCAGGAACCAGCTAGGACCCAGCCTTTTTTAAAGATTTATTTTTTTATTATTTTTTCATTGGAAAGGCGGATATACAGAGAGAGGAGAGACAGAGAGAAAGATCTTCCGTCCGATGATTCACTCCCCAAGTGAGCGCAACGGGCCGATACTATGCCGATCCAAAGCCAGGAGCCTCTTCTGGGTCTCCCACGCGGGTGCAGGTTCCCAAAGCTTTTGGGCTGTCCTCGACTGCTTTCCCAGGCCACAGGCAGGGAGCTGGAAGGGAAGCAGGGCTGCCGGGATTAGAACCGGCGCCCATATGGGATCCCGGGCGTGCAAGGTGAGGACCTTTAACCACTTGCGCCACCGCTCCGGGCCCAGGACCCAGCCTTTTAAACATAGCACCCGGTAGCCATCACTGTTTTTCCTCTGTGATTACACATCACTTATTAGCATATATCACTTATTTAGTACCAGATGAGGTATCAATATTAAATTGTCACCAAGGGCTTCAAATAATATTCTAAGAAAAAGAATTAGGAACTACATTATTATATTTGTCTGAGTGCCAGAGTATTTATGAACAAGATATGATCTTAAAAATAGTTGAGGGTCCAGTGTGGTAGCCTAGTGGCTAAATCCTCACCTAATATCCCCTGGAATTCCATACAGGCTCTGGTTTGCATCACAGCTGACTCAGGGTAAGATGCAGTTCGTATCCTGACTGCTCCATTTCCCATCCAACTCCCTGCTTGTGTCCTGGAAGGGCAATAAGATGGCCCAAGGTTTTGGGGATCCTACATCCCCACATGGGAGATCCAGAAGAAGCTCCTGGCTCCTGGCTTCAGTTCGGCTCAGCTCTGGGCACTGAGGCCAGTTGGGGAGTGAACCACCAGATGAAAGATCTGTCTCTCCCCCCTCTATAAATCTGACCTTCCAATAAAAATGAACAAACATTTATTTCATTTATTTATATGTATTTGAAAAGAGAGACAGGGAGGAAGACCTTCTATCTGCTGGCTCACTCCCTAAATGGCCACAACAGGTGCCAGGAACTCCATCCTGGTTTCCTAAATGGGTGGCAAGGACCCAGGTACTTGGATCATTACCCACTGCCGTCTCTGGAGCTTTAACAGAAAGCCACAGGACTTTTTTCAGAAACACATTTTTATTTCCAAATTACTCATGTGGTATTTAGGCAACTTGTCTCCAGTGATTGCTCTGAGAGAAAAGCTCTTAATTCTCAACAAAACCATTATCTGCATTTAGTCATTTACATTTCTAAACAGAATAACTAGGAAGCCATTGACACCAATACGGGATGCTAACTTCACAAGCAGTGCCTTGAAGTGCTGTACCACAATGCTAGCACCAAGACACAGACATAAATATATATGCTTTTTTTAAAAAAAAAATGGAAGAATGGTATGCTTACCTGGTTATCAAATAGAATCATAAGCAAAAAGAGGTTTTAGTAAGTAACCAACTATGGCAGAAATAAATGATCACACATTAAAATCTGTGTTCCTCCTCGTAGAGTGCAGACCTTGGCAGATAGCCATCCATCTGATCAGGGACTACAGACCTTATACTTTCTGATTCTTTCTCTTACATTTTTTTCGCACTACTTTCCCATATTATTTTTCTTTCCAAATTACTCCTGTGGTATCTCAGCAATTTGTCCCCACTAATGGCTCTCACAGAAATGCTTTGAATCCTCAACAAAACTTGATCTCTACTTACCATTTACAATCATTTTCAAACAAGCAGAACATGGCTTTCTGGAAAAATAAAGATCACAATTTTTCAGCCTTGACCCATGTTTAATAAGAGCAATTTGCCCAGCATGTAAATCTTCACTGGAACAGTGGAGACCAACAATTTTCATGTTTTTCACCACCACAAGGCCAGTTCTCTTCACCTACATTTATATAAAGTAATAACTTATTAGTTATAACATGTAACAATCACAGCAAGGATTGTGCTTAATTTATTAATAAGATGAAAGTTTTGTTTAGTTCTTTGACTACATTTCGAACAAACTGGCAAATTTCTTCTAAAATCCAAAACTTTTGGAAGTTTATTGTTGACTTTGGATTAAAATTTTTTTAAACCAAGAGAGGCTCTTACTAACAAAACAATTAAGCATGTAATTATCAATAATTTGTTCTAGTAAGAAATGGATACATTTTAACCCACAAAAAGGAAAAGCAAGTCAGTCTGATTTCTTATAGCATCTAGTCTAGAATTAGATACTATTATGTGTCTAGATGTCAAAATGAAAAATTCAGAAAAATTCTTTAACTTTAAGCATGGATATGTACAGAGAGCTTACATGACTTTCTGAAAGATCCACAGAGGCAGGACTAAAGCAGACGTCATCTTAAATACTGAGTAAAATAAAGACAGTTTCTAGGGCAGGTGTTGGCACTAAGGCTAAGCTGCCACTTGGGGATGCATACATCCCATAACGGAGTACCTGGTTTGAGTCCTGGCTACTCCGCTTCTTGTTCAGCTTCCTGCTAATGTGCACCCTGGGAGGCACGAGGTGATGACTCAAATACTTGGGTATCTGCCACCCATGTGAGAAACCCGGATGGAGTTCTGGATTCCTGGCTTCACCTTGGTCCCAGCCCTGGCTGTTGCAGGCATGTTTAGGAATGAATCAGTGATGCAAGGTCTCTATCTCTTTGCCTTTCAAATAAAATAAAACAAGAAAGGTTTTAATAATAAAAAAATTCTCAATTTCTTTTTAAAAACAAGCTGTACAAGTACTTTTAGCACTGTGTAAATACACAATAATGTAGTTTGAGTCCACCTGCTACAAATATGTAGCTAAGCTGTAACAACCAAAAAAAGAAATACATACTCTCAGGTGTCAGAACCGAGGAGAGAACTCAAAGCAAGAGCAGAAAGCCTGACCCTGCTTGGTGCTATTCTGTAAAGGAGACTTAGCTGACACTTAAGTCTCACAGGCTGCAGACTAGCTGGAGGTCTAAAGGACCTCTGTGAGGCAAGTTTTCTGTTATTCGAGCCTAAAGTACACTAAAACAGTCCATGCTGTTTTCCCAACCAAAGACTCTAGTAGGGAATGTAAACCTGGTTCCTGGGTTCAGGACTGATTGATAAAGCATGAAGGACACTTGAGCTGAGGACAGGGCATCCCTTAGACCCCAGTCCCTCCAAAGAGATTTACCATATGTTTGTCCTGAAAACAGAACATACTGGAAGTCACAAAAAGGTCAGATCAAAGCCCTCTTAGTTAAAATAGTCAAGTTTCATTTCCAGCTATGAGCATGGAGAACGATACTTGGTGAAACGAAATGTCTAAAAGCAAGATGCAGAGATTTCATGGAATTCCCTTTCTGAGCCAACTAATCGTCTCCTAAACTGTTAGAACATTTAGCTAGAATACAAAAATCTTTCCTTCACAAAAAAAATCTAAGAACATATCTGAAATATGAAAAAAACTTCACCTATATTTACCTTAAGGGTTAAGAGAAAAAACCTTGAATTTGTGAACCCCCTTCCCTGTATCCCAAATGATTTTGGATTTATGTCCTTCAAGTACAAAGAATATGTTACTTACTTCGAAACTTTAAGCAAGCTTACTTTAATTAACCGATGACGCCTTAAAAGATCTTAGCATGGCAGCTTCTATTGTTAAAGTGAATCAACCAAATTGGTAGTCTGCAACTGAATAGTTTCATCCTGGATTTTCTAACTAGTTACAAAATAAAACCAGAAGCTTAGTCCAAAAAAAAAAAAAAGAGTTCTTAAAAAATTATTCCTAAGAAATGAGAAGAATACTCACAAACTTATTTTTTTATTAAAAAAATTTCGAGTCAAAATTTGTTATTTTTTCTTTTAGGATCATTATATTTCAGAACAAAGTGTGTTTTTCACTTTACTCCCAGCTAAAGGCAAAATGTCAAACTTGAGACACAGATTTTTCCATTCTAAACTTAACAAAACAAATAAAAGCCTAAGTTGCATTCCACTTCGGCACTTCTACTTACTGCAATTCCCAGAAGACTAAATCTTCAGTGAATCACTTTTTGGATTTGATTGTTTTACTTCACTAACATCTTGGCAAGTTGCCCATGTAATACTAGTCTCTGCGTTTTACATTACAACATGGAAAGAACAGGACAGTCTGTTTTGACTATGACCTAGTACTTAAGTGGGGACTGATTATTCTTTCCCTTTTACTATCCTATAATGAGCACATTCAAATACGATGAAACAAATGTATTTATATTCTTGTTGGGCCTCTCAGTACTAATCAGGAACTCTCCAAGTAATGCTCAAAGTAACACTTCTCAAAATACACATGCTAATCTCCCTGCCATACCTAGAGTCAGAATATCTGGAAAACTCAAAAAATTAAAGTAATAAGAAAGTGGCAGTGCAGTGTTTCAAAAATAAAATAAAATAAAAACAAGGTTCATCTTTGAGGTATGGGCTTTAATTTTACCCTACTTACTAATTAATAGTTCAACCTGCTATTGTTTCATGACTACTAGCTAAAGACAAAAAATGTACAGGTCAGAGACAAAGGACTCTATTATTCAGAGCACAGCAGACCATGTGAGCATCTTGCCCGTGATGGTTTCCTTGCCCTCGAGTCCCAAGGGGAGTAATGCAGATGGGCCCACACGGTTGTGTTGCAGATCACTGGGCTTTGGGATCCTCCTGCTTCATAGCAAAGATAAAACCAGTCGGCTCTTTGTCCCCAAGAAAAACTTTACTTCAACTCTCAACTCTGAAACTCTTTCACCACAAACACTGTAGGAAACCGTGCTAGAGAAGAGTGGTTAGAGTCTTGCATCCTTGGGAAAACCTGGAAGATGTGTGTGCACGCGGGAGAACCATGGATAAGTGATTCTCAACCATATTCATGTAAACTAATATCAGGAGTCAAGACTTCTATTTGAAAATGCTGTTTTCTAAAAGCAAAATGCAAGAGCATATGACAGAATCATCTCTTTTTTGTTCTTTTCCTTTTTACATCAAAGACATACAGTCTTAGAGACTCACAGCAGAGTTTTAGAAAACAACATATATAAGGAACTCCCTTAAAAGTGGGAGTACAGAGCATCAGTTCTGGAAGGTTTCTTTACCCTCTTCTTTGTATCATTCCTTTTCTTTAGTAGTTATGGGCCTGAGGCTGTTTTCTTGTTTGTTTGTTTTGTTTTGTTTATTTAAGTCATAAAAATTTACCTGTTTTTTGTCAGTAGATACCCCGGCTGTGTCTTCATTGTTTTCTCCCAAGGATTCATGCTTTTCTTCTTCATTTTTCTAATTAAAATCAGATAAAAGTTATTAGTACAAATAACATATTTAATGACGTGTTTCCTTGGCTTGGGACAATTCTTCCATTTTCCTTGTTTTTTTTTTTTAAAGATTTATTTTTTATTATTTTTTTTCATTGGAAAGGCGGATATACAGAGAGGAGAGACAGAGAGGAAGATCTTCCGTCCGATGATTCACTCCCCAAGTGAGCGCAACGGGCCGATACTATGCCGATCCGAAGCCAGGAGCCTTTTCCGGGTCTCCCACGCGGGTGCAGGTTCCCAAAGCTTTGGGTCATCCTCGACTGCTTTCCCAGGCCACAGGCAGGGAGCTGGAAGAGAAGCGGGGCTGCCGGGATTAGAACCGGCGCCCATATGGGATCCTGGGCGTGCAAGGCGAGGACCTTTAACCACTTGCGCCACCGCTCCGGGCCCCATTTTCCTTGTTTAAACTCTGTCTTGGGGAGGGGCTCAGGTGAGTTTGAACTCAGAACTTGGGTGGACGGACCTCTCAAAAGTATGGTGGCTACCGCAGGGACCTGAGCCAGGGAGGACTCAATGCTTGGGGTTCTAAGCCTCAGCCACTGCTGACAAATAGTGAGCAATTCCTGGAGTTATAGGCAACCAGAGCACCAATCGGCACCTGACTGCGCCTACTGGCCACCCAGCAGTCAGCTCTGGGATCTTGGGGGAGCGGAATTACTGCCTAGGAACATCCATGGATAAAGCCACTGTACATGTAGGTGAGGAATGACTCCTGAGGGACTTCCAATGACAGGGACACTGTACTTGCAGGTGAGCAAGACAACTGATACTTGGTGGTTTGGAGGTTTCAGGGAAGGTCTATATGGGTCAGACTAATATACCAACCCACATGGGAGTCCTGAGTAGGGCTTGTTAGATTGGAACATTGCTGCCTACTACACAGCAGTCCACTCAAAAGCTAGGGCTGGGGGGCCTGTCTAGCAGAGCTAGATCCCAGTATCTGACTGAATATCAGGGGATGGGTCACATTAGGTAGGGGCATGCCACTAACCAGCAGCAAGAGAACCAGGTCCTAGGGTAGATTCTGTGGGGGAAGTGGGGTGTGGGACAAACCTTGTGGAAATACAAATCCCACTGGCTAACTCAAGAGTTGGGGTGAGGAAGGACTAAGCTAGGTGTGACCTTGGAACCTGCCACATTCACAGGTACAGAGACTGAGAATAGTCTGTATAGGTCCAGGCTGCAGCACCCATATGTGCATCCTAAAACAGGAATATAGGTCAGGCCAGGCCACAACATCTACCAGCTCATACAAGGCCAAGACAGAGGGGCAGGTTATGCCAGGCAAGGGCTTAGCACCCGCTGGCATGCATGAGGTCTGGGTCTGGGCCAAGAGGAGGAAACCGGGAAACTCCCCTAGTGGGTTATAGTTCCTGCTGGTGAGCAGGTAGTCCAGCCAGGGGTTTAGACAAACTGGGCAAGGCAGCTCCAACTGTTGGCTAATGTGTGGGTTGGCTTTGGAAGGGGGTGGACCAGGCATGGCTGAGCAAATCTTAGCTCACCGGCAAGTGCAGAAACCAGACTGAAGCACAGGTCATGCTAGGCTAGGCTGTCACACCTACAGGTTTGCATGAGTCAGGGATGGAAGCAGGCTGAGAAGGGTCAGGTTCTAGCACCTACCAGCGAGAGCTGGGACTGGCGGTAGGTCAGGTCAGGCCAGGCTACAGAATCCAAACGCAAAGACCAAGACAGGTGAGGGATTATGCCAAGCTAGGTCAGAGCAACCACTGGCATGTACAAGATCTATGGCTGGGATGAGGCCTGGCTGGGGAGCTAAGAGGACACCCTGGCTGGGTTGGGGTTCCCACTGGTGAGTGCGGGGACCAGACTGGGGGCTGTGTTCTGGTCTGGATATGGCTGCAGTGTCTCTTGGCAGAAGTGTGGACTGGGTCTGGGGTATGCCAGACTGGGCTAGACTCTAACACCCACTGGTGCTCATGAGAACCATGGTAGTTGTAGGACAGGCTGGGCTAGGTTTATGCCCCTGCTGAGCCATGTGTGAGCTGTGTCTGTTTGAGGACTAGGGTTGGCTGGACTGTAACACCCAATAGTTAAAAACAGGAATAGGTGAAGCTCAGTCAGGAAAGGCTACTGTTCCTGCTAGGTGGAAATAAGTAGGGTTGGCTCATGGATCCAACAGTGTGTGCGAGATCTGGCACTGGGAGAGGTTCTGATGGAGAAGCTTGGGCAACTCCTCTATTGGGACACAGTCCCTGCAAGTAAAGTTTCCCTGTGGGCTGACCAGCCTGGGCAGGGCTATAACACCTGTTGGCCTCATGTAAGCTGGATCAAGGAAAAGCCTGGCTGGATGGACTGTTCCTACTGGTGCAAGCATAAATCAGAGTGGTTGGCTAGGCTTTGTCACAACATCAGCTAACAAATGCTGGCATGGGGGGGGCGGGGCGGTTATTCTGTCAAACTGCAGGACCACTTGCAGAGTGCAGAATCTGAAAGTGGGGAAACAGTGGGCATTTCCCTCTCGGGCTACCACTCTGACACGTGAGCATGAGAACCAGGGCTGGGACAGGTACGGCTAGACAGAGAGTAGCACCTGCTGGTAGGTGTGGGGGCTGGTTGGGCTGAACTGGGCTTCAGTGCCCATTGACATGTATGAGAGCTGAATGGAATGTGGGACAGACATGACCAGTCTGCTGCACATACTGGCAAGCACGGGAACCAGGGTAGGAGGCAGGCCTGGTAAGGGTTATTGCGGGTCATTACAACTAGGCTGCAGCTCCCACTGGTGTATGTGAAGACCAAGTGTGTGGTGGGCTGGATCGGGGTGGGATGCAACACCCATTGGTTTGTGTAGAAGTCAGAGCTAGGGGCAGAACTGACCCAGCAACCACCAGCATATGTATAAGCTGATTGGGGCAATGGATTGTGCCAGACCCTGTATTGGCAAACACCCACAAAAATCAGGTCTGGGATTACATCAGGTGAAGTTTCTATGCAGATTCCCCCCAGCTGAATTCTTGGACTCAGAACCCCAACCATAGAGAGAACTGCAGCTTCCATGGTCTGACTATGGAGTGCATCTATCAGAGCTGAGCCTCTTCAGGGGCTTAAATGGAGCAGTAGACAGCATATCCAGGTGCACATAGATGATATGGCAGCACATTGGAGCCTGCAGAGGACAGCTGGTACCACAACAGAGGATGGAGGGCAGAACAAATTGATCAACTACCCCGGCCATGTGCTGGCAGTGAAAAACTGGGCAAACTCTAAGGTGAGACTCTAAGGTGGACTATATTAACCAGTGGGTTCTGGAGAAATTTCTTCTTGCTTGGAGTGGTGAGACTGGCAATAATTCAGAACTGCTGAACTATCGAAACCTCATGAGCAAGACTCTCAGAGAATGCCCCACATCAGGACCTCTGGAGTGGTGTCAGGTGGCTGTCCTCCATCCCAGGGTGCAGAGGCGATGGGGAGGTTGGGTGTGGCTTCTCTCCTTGTCTCCCCACTTCCCCCAGATACAGGAAGTAATAAAAAAAAGAGAATGTGGAAGTGGTGATATTACCCACCTTCCTGTAGCCCTTGACCTTATCACCCTAATCAACTATGTAAAAATCATCAAAAATAAAAAAAAACTAAAAATAATAATAAAGTCCTGTTTTGACTTCCTACTTTGTTCAGGATCAAGTTCAGACCATCCACTCTAAAAATAAAGGACTTCATAATCTGACCACTGTGTATGTTCCTAAAATATTGAATGGCTAGCAGCTATGACAAGAAAATAAAATTCTGTAATGCAAGATTAGAGTTGAGGGGCTGGCACTGTAGTCTAGTAGGCTAAGTCTCTACCTGCAGCATCGGCATCCCATAATGAGTGCTGGTTAGTGTCCCACCTGACCCAGCTCCTGATCCAGTTGATCATTACTTTTAAAAAAAGATTTATTTTATTTTTATTGGAAAGCCAGATATACAAAGAGGAGAGACCGAGAGGAAGATATTCTGTCTGGTGATTCACTCCCTAAGTGATTGCAACGGCTGGAGCTGAGCTAATCCAAAGTCAGGAGCCCTGAGCCTCTTCCGGGTCTTCCATGCAGGTTGCAGGGTCCCAAGGCTTTGGGCCGTCCTCGACTGCTTTCCCAGGTGGCAAGCAGGGAGCTGAATGGGAAGTGGGGTTGCTGGGTTTAGAACCAATGCCCATATGGCACATGCAAGGCAAGGAACTTAGCCGCTAGGTTACTGCACCAGTACCTAATCATTTCTTCTTTCTGGCTCCCTGCTTGTGGCCTGGAAATGCAGGGGAGGATGGTGGCCCAAGTTCTTTAGCATCTGGACCCAAGTAGGAGACCTGGAGGAAGCTCCTGTCTCTTGGCTTTGGATCAGCTTAGCATCAGCTGCTGCAGGCACTTGGGGAGTGAACCAGTGGATAGATAAAAGTACTCTGTCTCACCTCTTCTCTGTGACTCTTTCAAATAAAAATATTTTTTAAAGCTTTAGGGCCTAGCACAGAGGCCTAGCAGCTAAAGTCCTCGCTTTGCACACACTGGGATCCCATATGGGCACTGGTTCATATTCTGGTGGCCCCACTTCCCATCCAGCTCTCTGCTTGTAGCCTGAGAAAGCAGTCAAGGATAGCCCAAAGCCTTGGGACCCTGCACCCGTGTGCAGGAAGAGGCTCCTGGTTTCAGATCGACACAGCACCAGTCATTGCGGCCACTTGGGAAGTGAGTCAGCAGACAGAACTTCCTCTCTGTCTCTCCTCCCCTCAATGTATCTGGCTTTCTGACAAAATAAATAAATAAATAAATCTCTTTTAAAAAAAGCTTTAAAATTACACAATTGGGGAAGTTTTGAGCAATGGAAAAATAGATACAATGTGGCCATGATTATGATGGAAGAAAGTGGATAAGGGTGACTTAGTTAGAACTGAGAAAGTAAGAAAACTATGTAACAAAAGCACTGCTTATGCATGATGGTCAGCACAACAGTGGCTCCCCAAAGACCTCCTCC